TTTTGTATTATTATTATTAATTTTAATGAAAATTTACAGATATTTTGGGTTTCCATTCATTCATTGTTGCACTTTTCTCCCTGCCCACACCTCCCCTCCAGTTCATTCTTCTTTTTGAAAAGTAAACTCAAAAGATATTTTTTTGGTTAAAGGTGACAGAAAAAAAAAACCAAAACAAAACAACAACAAAACCCAACCAACTCATTCTGGGTTTTTTGCTCATGTAACTGAGGCTTCTAGTGGAAGGCTTCAGGCTTGGGTAGATTTTTAGATTAAAATAACAGCATGAAGCAAAAAGGGTGAGAGTTTTTCTCTTTTTTAAAATTTCCAAACTTGGATTTCCTCTCCGTTAACTTCCCTGTTGAAAGAGAGCTGCTTTTGTCCCGAGAGTGCCAGCCAACAGCTTGAGCATTCTCACTGTCTCACTGGTTTCGGCCAAATGTCCATCCTCGTTGCTTTTGTGTTCAGATTGACTAGAGCAGATTAGATAGTGTGCTCACATCTGGAGTCATAAAGGGAGTCAGGTCCTCCAGAACTAAGTCGAGGAAACATGGAGTAGGAAGGAGACTGGATGGGTAAATGGTCACACACTTTCCCAGACATTCACAGAGATGACTCCCATCAGCATGGCCTTGGGTTTATTTATAGCTCTTCATTCATTCTGGTTGGTTGATACTTATACTCTTCCAATTATTAAGTATTTTCAACATTTGCTGTTATTACTGTTGTGTGCCTTTACCTTGATTTAACTCATAGTGACCCTGTAGCATAAAGTAGAATTGCCCCATAGGGTTTTCTAGGTTATATTCTCTTTTTTCCTCCCGAAGATTTCTAATTTTATTTGTACTCATTTGTATAGCTGTGTGTATTTTGTTTTCTAGACTGTATTATTTTTTTCCACAGTTGTGGGGTTTATTAGGGAAATGAGTTGGAGAATAAGGAAGTCAAATAATATCCCACAGTGCAAATCCAGGTTTAGTCCAGCAGTCCCAAGCCAGATTACTAAAGCACAATTTCTCAATTAGTGAAAAGTCCAGGTTCAGTTCAATAGCAGAAATGCAAGAAGCCTCTGGTTTTCTTTATCATTCAGCAAACTATCTCAGAGCAGTCACTTTAAAGTATGGCCTTTATATCCAGGGTTCCTCTGGTTACACCTTGACACAGTCTCTTCACAATCTCTCCCTTTTTCACAATGTGGAAAGCACACTCTTATGTTGATCCCACAGCTGTTGATGATTTTTAAGACTATATGAATACAGTTAAATTAGCTGGAGACCAACATAATGGCCAGAAAAGACAATTTTTGAGGGCTCTGACATCCCAAGGATATATTGCTCAAGGCAGACATTCTTGTGTGTGTGTGTGTGGTGTGTGTGTGTGTGTGTGTGTGTGTGTGTGTGTGTGTGTTTTATTTCTTTTTCTTAATGCAGAATATATTTTTTACAGCATATTCTTCCCATTTAATTTTTTTCCCATTTATTCATTGTTGAACATTTTTTCTCCCTGCCCAACCCTCCCTATCAGTTCGCTTTTCTCTTTGAAAAGAAAAAAATTCTCTCACTGTTATAAGATCCCCCTGGCCCCACCCCCACCCCCCACTGCCTCAAGTCCACATTCCACTTTACTATGCATTTTTTTTTCTGCAATCTTGTCATGAAAATGATACCTAATTATATATTCCCTTTAGACAGTTCTCTCCCTCCTCTGTTTCAATGCAGTATACATTATTTATTCCCTCTTTCTCAGTCTCACCCAACCGCGATGCCCCTCCTGTTTTATAACAGTGGCAAGTTTGGAGGGTTTTGTGTCTTTAGCTCTTTCAGCGCGGAAGATGCCCGATCTATCTGCCGCAAGCCCTGCCCCGTCCGAGTCGCAGGAAAAGAAGCCACTGAAGCCCTGCTGCGCCTGCCCAGAGACCAAGAAGGCGCGCGATGCATGCATCATCGAGAAAGGAGAAGAGCATTGTGGGCACCTGATTGAGGCCCATAAGGAGTGTATGAGAGCCCTGGGATTTAAGATATGAGATGATGCTCTGCTTTGAAGAAATAATTCTAGAAGAATGAAGATTAAATAACTTTGATAATTCTTTAATGTCTTGATAAATGTAAAAAATATTTATAATTTATTAAAAATATATATCCCTGGCCAAAAAAAAACAGTGGCACTATACAATGTTTGTCCTTCTGTGACTGAGATATTTCACTCAGCATAATGTCCCCCAGGGTCACCCATTTTGTATAATAATTCATGAGTTCTTTGTTTTTTTTCAGTGCAGCATAGTATTCCATTGTGTGAATATACCACAGCTTCTCTATCCATTCATTTGTTGATGAGCACTTGGGTTGTCTCCAACTCTTTGCTATTGTGAACAAAGCCGCAGTAAACATGGGTGTGCATATATCTGTTTGAGTAGGTTTCTTAAGGGTATATTCCTAGTAGTGAAATTGCTGGGTCAAATTGATTTGCAACTTTTTGAGAAAATGCCATACTGCCTTCCATAGTGGTTGCACCATGTTACCCTCCCACCAACAGTAAATAAGGGTTCCAGTTTCTCCACAACGTCACTAGTATTTGTTGTTTGCTACTCTGTTGAATTTTGCTATTCTTACTGGGGTGAAATGATATCTCATAGTTGTTTTGTGGGTTGTATTCTTTACAGAATAAACTCTCTTGGCACAGCAGTTAAGTAGGTAGGTTTCTAACAAAAAAACCCCACAAAACCAAAACCGACAACCCAAACTCATTTGCCATGGAATTGGAAACAACTAAGACCTGACCCTCCTGTGGGTTTTCAGAAACTGTGAATTGCATGAGAGAAAATTGTCCATCTTCTTCCTGAGGAGCAACTGGTAGATTCAAACTGCCCACCTTTGCAGTGCACCTCCCTATCCAATAGACCACCAGAGCTCCCTAACTGAAAGGGAGGTTGGAATTCACCAGTCATGAAAAGAATGTACTCATCTGCTTCTCAGGAGCAGATTGTCCAGTTTTTGGGATAGTGAAATAATGTAAAATTGTTCATTGTAGATTAGTAAATAAGATTTGTTGTTGTGTTATGTTGGTAGATGCCTTAAACTGGTCTCTGACTCATACAGGTTCTACATACAGCAGAGCAGATCAAAATCTTACTCTGTTGTTCACCAAGAATGGTGTAGTCTTTTTAACCTTGCCTCTGAGAATCACCTTGGCTGCACTTACTCCAAGACTGCTTTGTATTTTCTTATGGCAGTCCTTGGAATATATAATATTCTTCACCAATACCACAATTCCAAGGAACCAGTTCTTCAATCTTCCTTATGCATTGTCCAATGTTCACAAGCATATGTAGCAATTGAAACTATCATGGATTACATCAAGTGCACCTTAGATTTTAAACTTACATCCTTACTCTTAAAGAGGTCCTATAAAGAGATCAATACCTTAAAGAGGTCTTTGACAACAAATTTGCCTAATGCAATACCTTTTTTCTCATCTTTTGACTGATACTATCATGGACGTTGATTATAAATGCAAATAAAACTAGATCCTTGACAACTTCAATGTTTTCTCGATCTGTCATGATGTTGCTTATTGGTCCACTGGTAAGGGCTTTTGTTTTCTTGCTGTTAAGGCTATGAAAGGAGCAGATACAATGTGGGGAAGGCCAAGTCTGACTTCTACTGGCTTCATAAAGGGGAACTTTCCCCATAATAATATCATAGCACCATACAAACAGCTTCATGGTCAGACATGCCATCCCGCATGCTCCTGGACCTCTTTCTACCAATCATTGAATCCGATATTCATCACAACTTGACTCATGGGCTTTATTCACAGTCGTGAGATTTATTAGAGAAACAGGTTGGGGAATGGGGGAGGTAAAGAATATATCGCACAATGCAAGTCCAGGTTTAGTCTAGCAGTCCCAAGCCAAATTAATAAGGCCAAATTCTTTAATTAGTTCAGACAGCTTTTTAGTCAACAAGTGAACATTTAATTTCAGTTCAGCAGTGCAGATGCAAGAAACCTCTGGTTTCCTAAATTGCCCAGCAAACTTTATCTCAAAGCAGTTATAAGTCACCTTTCACTTAATCATCCAAGAAGCACAATCTTTAACTGTAGCTCCATCTCCAAGGTTCCTCTGGTTACATCTTGCTACAATCTCTTTACAGCAGTACCATGGTCTCTTCACCTTCTCTCCACGACCATTGTGCCTGTTCCTCACAGTGTGTTCCTCACAGTGCTCGCTTATTTGGTCCCACAGCTGTTGATAATTTGCAAGACTGTGTGTCCACAGTTAAGGTAGCTGAAGACGATGCCCCCAGGTGGGAGCAAATGGATAGATGAAAAAGCCAAAAGTTCTGACATCACAGGGGTGTAATCCATACTGCAGATTGCCATCTTTGATCTTCTTCCATAGCTCTTCACATTCCACAAGCAAGGTTGTGTCATCTTCATATCATAGCTTATTGATTAGTCTTCCTCTAAACCTGATGCAATCCTTCCTCCAATTATTCTTCATTTAGTTGAGCTTCACAAATTATTTGCTCAGCATACAGATTGAATAAGCATGGTAAATAAAGATACGACTCTGACACACACCTTTCCTAATTTTAAACCTGCACTATCTCCTTGTTCTGTTCAAATGACTGATTCTTGGTTTATATATAGGTTTCACAAGAGCACAATTAAGCATTTTAGAATTCTCATTCTTCTGCTATTATTCATAATTTATCATGATCTACATAGTCAAATCTGCTATCAGGAACCTCTCCAGAATGCTGAAAAGCAACCATGTCAGTCTACAGACTAAGGTGCACCTAATCCAGGCCATGATCTTCACAATTACTTTGCTATGCTTCAGAGAGCTGGCCAATGACTAAGAATGACAGAAGAAGAATCAATGCCTTTGAGTTTTGATGCTGGAGAAGAGTCTTGAGCATAACCATGGACAACCAAGAAAACAAATAGGTCTGTCTTGGAGAGGGTGAAACCAATTTTATCCTTGGAGGCAAGGATTATGAAGCTCTGTCTCACATACTTTAGGCACATGGCTAGGAGAGACCAGTCCTTAGAGAAGGACATCATGCTTGGAAGGGTGGAGGGCCAGCACAGGAGAGAAAGACCCCGAATGAGATGGATTGATACAGTGATTGGGGAAATGGGGATTGGTGTGTCAGAATTAGTGAGACTGGCTCAGGACAGAGCAGAGCTCTATAGAGCAGAGCTGCTATATATAGGGTCAGTAGGAGTCTCAGGCAACTCAACAGCACATAACAACAAGACACAAGGAGACATCTTTCTTGTGTTCTTTGCTGTCAGTCATGATTCATTTGACATCAGCAATGATCTCCCTCATTCCACTGCTCATTCTGGATTTGGCTTGAACTTTTGACAATTCTCTAATCATTTTTTAACATCTTTAGCAAGATTTTATTTGCTCAATAATTTTCATCCACATTTTGTTTGCTTTACCTTTTCTTTTTTTTATTAAATTTTATTAGTTTTAATGAACATTTACAGAGATTTTGGGTTTTCATTCATTCATTGTTGCACTGTTTTCTCCACCCTCCTCC